TGATTGTTAGTGTTTTGTATTTTTGTTGTTGTTGATGGTATTATTTTAGTTTTTTTTTTTTTGTTTTTTTTTTTTTTGTACACAGCGTGCTGTTGTCGTCGGCGCTGCTGTTGTTATTTTGAATTTTTTTGTTGTTAGATTTTGTTGTTGTTGTTGTTGTTACTGTTTTTCGTGTTGTTTCAGTTTTTGTATTTGCTATCTTTAGAATTGTGGTGGTAATTCTTATTGTTGTTGTTTTTATTTTTGTTGTCGCTTATTGTTTTTGTTGTCGTTTGCTCTTAAAGTGTCGCACTCTATGCTACACCAACGCATAAAAACACACAGCCACTTATACAATGTCGATGTAAACTCATTCGCTCCTATAGTTACAATGCTGGCAAGTTGTCGTGCGTCGTGTCGTATGAGTAACCCACACACTCTATGTACATATATGCGTATGGTGCGTATATGCGTCCTATTGTAAATGTATTTGTATCGTATCGTATACCCCCTGCCTCGAATATTTGTTGTTATGTTTGTTGCTGTCCACAGCGTTCAATGCTCCTCAGCTCCTTAACTTCGGCGACCTTCGGTGCTGCTTTACTTATATGCTGCTGATATGCTAGCGCACGCGTTCGTCTGGAATGACTATTTGGGTTTTTATCTTTTTTTTTCTGTTCTGACTTGTTTCCTCTACTAGTGCGATGGGTGGCTTTATCGACAGACACCAGAGTTATGTGGGCGACTTGCCGTTCACTGTTATAAATTCGTAAGTACGGGCCTCTTCCTCTTCAGTTTTGCTATTTTTTATTGCTCCACTTCGGTTGAATGTCTTGCTCTGCCTCGGCAACTCGTGTAACTGCTTTTTATGCTTCGTCCTCAAACTTATTGGCGGCGCCTGTTTTGTTCCCCTTTTTTGCGCGCTCCTCGAACTTTTACCGCTTCGTTATTGTTGTCGCCGTTGCTTGTTCTTCGTTTTCCTTCTGGCTGTTCTGGTTAGTGCTTCACCGCCAATGTTTATGCCACACTCATACAACTAACTACACAAAATGAAAAAAAAACACAAAATGAAATATGTATAAAGCAACAATGAAGCTATCGGAAGGGTCTTCGCTCTATAACCGCTACTGCCACTATTCGTTTACTGTTTCGTGCTTCGGGCTTTGAGCTCCCACTGCGTGCAGATCGCAATAATTCTTTTGGGTTGGTTAATACGCCACTCTTTTTACTCCTTCAATGGTTGTAGCGTCCTTGCGCTCAACGCTGCAACTGCTGCGCTTGCAATGTTGCTGACTATCGTTGTTATTGCTTACTGTCTTGCCTTCTGGCCTTGCACCTTCTCTCTCTCTCTCTCTCTTCTTATTTGGTCGCTACTGCCTGCACTTGCTGCTAGGGACTTATGTTTTACTACTTTTCTTCTTCTTTTGCTGCTTCTTCTTCGTCCTCACTATCCGCTGCGCGTCTATTGTCTCTTCAAGTGTTACAATTGATGTTAAGCAGACCAATTCAGCTGTACACTAGCGCTGGTGATAGTTGTCTGCGCTATGGCAATGTTCAAAATGCACGCTATTTATTGTTGTACCTACTAGCTGTTGTTGTTGTCGTATCAAAGTATTAAAATAGTACGTAGTATGAAAAGTACGCGCTGTATTCAAAAGGATAGCGTTCCTTTTCTCTGTACTAGCTTACGCGTGGGACTGTCGCTTTCGCTTTCCTCAGGGCGATTGTGAATTGACTCTTGTCCCTTCAGATTTAAGCATATGAAGCACAGCATATGTATAAAAGAAATGTATCTATTCAATGGCACTTATTTGCATGTGCACGCGTGTGTGTGTCTGTGTGTGTTTGTTGTGGCAGCGCGTGTGCTCGCCTTGACTTGCTGTCGTCGTCGTTGTTGACGACGTCTTCTGCTCTTAGTACGCCCACTGGCTGTTCATTCAATTTTGAGCTGAATTCCGAATACTGCTACTCGCCCACGGCTGTTGCCTGCTACTATTACCGTTTGCTGTCGCTTGCAGCGTTTTTTTTTCCAACTATTCTTATTATCCTCCTAACTGTATATTTATGTGCACGGGTATCTATGCAGTTAGGTTGATTGTCTGTTTGTGCTTCGTTTTCCCACTGTTTGCCTGCAATGAAATATACAACAAGAGAAAATAATGATGAACATAAGCAGATATTGTTATTGCTCTGTAGATGCATGTAAAGATGAAGAATAGTACTCGTTTTATTATTCATAAAAATTAAGCTATTATTGAAAGTTGTGCCGGCGTGTATTGATAAAGAGCATCATCACTCGTTGTCCCTTTACTGCAGACACATCGCTATGATCATGTCATGAGTAGTAAACTGTTTATCGATTCAGATGATTGTGGTTATTGCTATGGTGAGCGATACAGAGTAGATATTAGCATAAATTTGCGCTTTTTCAAATGCCCTCGCAGTGGAAATTTGAGTGGGATTTAAGGTTTTAAACACACTGACCGTAGATTTCGTATATATGTAAATATATGTGCTAAGTTTAAGGCGGTCAAGTAATAAAAAATGAGATCATGAAGAGCTCCAAGTCCACCAAAGCTACTGCCTAGCATTATTCAGAAAATAAAGATAAAATTAAATTAAGATAAAAAGCAAAAAGAGAGCTGATTTCGGTCGAATTTCGTCGTTTGCTGGGAATGGAGTTCGCATTTCTTTTAAGGGTATCCTGCCCAGTAAAATTAATTTTATTCAATTAAAAAAGGTTTTACGCTAACGCTATCGATTTTAAATGAACTTCGAAAATCTAGGGTGGAAAAATTTTCAAAAAATTTGCAAATACATACACATCATTAATCGGCATATTTAAGTACTTTTGTATTTAAAATACTAGTTTACGTACCGAAAAATACTTAGTGTTTGAAGGTGTCTATGAAAACACTCAGGAATTTAGGAGTTGCTGAATGCTTAAGTAAGAAAACTTAGGTATTCAGGTTTAGCTAAGCACTCAAGTACAAAAAACTCAGTTGAAAAGCTATTTTGAGAGAAAGCACTTGTATATCAATTAGCTCGCGTCGCTTCAACAGTCGCAATGGCCGAGTAAGCAAAGCGCTGGCGTGCCTCTCGAGAGCTCCAAGGTCGAAAAATCGGGCAGCGAATTTTTTGTTACTTAATTCTCAATAAATTGAATTGCGTTGAATTAATTTTTTTTTTTTTTAATTTAATTTTCTTTTAATTAAGAGATTTCATTAAGAAGAAAAAAGGATTTTTTTCTTTAATTTAATTAAATTTTTAGACACTTATTTTGTTTATTTTTAAATTTTTTTTTTGTATATATTACTGTTGTTTATTTATGACTATTATTTTAATTACATAAAATTTTTAGAAACGCCTTTTATTTTATTTTTCTATTTTTTTTTAATTTTTCATATTTTTTCAATTAATTTTCCTTTCTTATTGGTTTTAGATTTTATTGCTAAAAAAATATATATACATTTTTTTCATTTAATTTTTAGGATATCATTTATTTCATTTCTATTTTAGGTTTTTGGACTTTTAATTTGAGTATCTTTTAATTTTTAGATTTTGATAAAAAAAAAAAATTTCATTTAATTTCTAGGCACAATTTTCTTAGTTTATTAAAAAGAAAAGCGAACTCATATTTTTTTAAATGGATTTAATTTTTGAAAATATTTTTATTTATTTTTGCTTTATTTTAATTTTATTTATTTTTTGTTTTATTTCTTAGTTTTTATTGTTTTAAAAAGAAAATAAATGCAATTTTTTTTAATTTTATTTAATTAAAAAAAAACTTAAAGACGAACAGCATAATGATAAGACCTTCTCGGTAACAGATCTTTCAGTTAGTCTTTCGAGCTTTCAAGATAGCTGCCACAATTGACAATTGTTGAAATACTATTGTTTAGCTTTATCTAAACCTAAAGTCTTCACCTCACCTCATCTCAGTTCAGCGAAGCAAATCACGAACAATTGTTTTTCTGAAAATCCCGAAATAATCCCAAATATCCCGAAATAGTACCAAGGACCCGAAACGGTCACGAAAATCTATAGGTGGTCCTGAAATTTTTAAAATCCCGGAAATACTGAAATAATAATTCTAAAGTAGTCGAGGAAATTCGAGACGTAGTACGAAAGACCCAAAAAAGTTCCGAAAACCCGTAGGTAGTCTCGAAAATCGAAGATAGTCACGAGAATTCTAAAGTAGGACGAATTAGTCCCGATTCCAAAAATCCCGATATAGTCCCGAAATACAGAAATCAATTCATAAGTACTAAGAACTTTAGTATCCAGTATTTAGTGAAGCCAAAGTTATTAAAGTCTTAAAGTCTATGTGTAAGCGCCAATCTATTATTATTTATTATCATGTTAATATTGCATGTTTAGTATTTTTGAATCGACAAATACTTTTGCATTATGAATTTGTTGAAAGTACACTTCATCGTCGACATCGAAAAATATTTATCGTAGCACTTATTGAGTTATCGCAAATTTATGGATAGTTATTGAGCTATATAAATTTATGGGACTATCCAAATTTGTAAAGTTATAGAAATTTATCAAGCTGTCGATATTTATTTAATTATCATTATTTATAGACTTAACGAAATTTATGAAGTTTTCGTAATACATCGAGGCCTTTCAACTTACAGAGTTATCGATAATTATTGATCTACTGAAATTGGTCGATGTACCGAATCAAAAATTATGGAATTCTCAAAATATATCGATTTATCGCAATTTCGAGGTTTTATAAGTTTATCGAGTTATCACTGCTTATCGGAAAATATGGAGCTGTCAAAATTAAAAATTTATAAAGGTATTGAAATATAATCACATTTTTGTGTTATCAAAATCCATCGAACCTTCGAATTTCACAGTTATCGAAATTATTTGAGTTATCGAATTTTGTTGAGTTGTCGCATTTTAGCGGTTTTGAAATTTATCGAATTATCGATATGTTTCAAATCATTGAAATTCATCGATAAACTGGAATGTATCGGGTCAATTCTAAGTGCTGCCGAAGTCCTCCAAAAACCTTCAAAGATATAAAAAATTTTAGTCACGTTTTAGTTCCAAAGCAGATTTTCCAATGAGTTACTTGGTACCTTATAAGTTTAGCTACGTGTTAAGTTAGAAAACCCCTCAAGGTTCTTAAAAACTAGAAAGAATAGTCGAATTTCGACAGTAACTAGCACTCTAGTATGTATAAAGGAGCAGAAATTCGACGTCGGATTTGTGGCGAGAGGCAGACTCCGTCGACCGTCACTTTCTAATCACTTTTCTCAAGAAAGCAAGATTATGCATTCATGTTCGTTATTTGTGTTCACGCCCCAATGAAAAAAAAATAACGCGATACGAGCAAAGATAAATTTTACGAGCTCTTCGATTGCGCTTATGAACTCAATCCCCGCCACGATATAAAAATTCGGCCAAATCGTTTAGAGAGTTATAGCTCAAATTAATAAGAAAAAGTGCTTAGCAATTTCGAAGAAACAATTGAACACATAACATTGGAGTATCCAGCTCTCAGCTCGTAGAACTTTGTAAAGCTGAAGTTTAAAAACCATCCTTGTGTTGAGGACAGTAAAAAAGAGTTGGCGGCTACTGGGAAATTTACACTGATGGTATAGCTCACAGGGCTTACAAAAAAGTACTACACACAATTGTACATACATATACATCAATACATTTCGATGTGTGCTTCAATGTGGAGCTAGGCGTAACTTTTTATTTATGAATGAGTCTGCGTATCTAAAAATTCGACAACAAAACAATGCGTCGTGGTGCTTACCACAAAACGCCTCAAAAGACCACACTTCAAACGCAAGCGCTGTTAAATAGACAAGCGGAAAAAACATTTTTTTCTTACTTACTATAACAACAATAAGAATCTTGCTCGACGGCCACTGGCACTCCCACTTCCACGCCTCGTCAGCTAACAGCAAACGCAGACTCATAGTTGTTGTACATATATCTGCATGTGGGTGAGTTGTAGTCGCACTTGCTTATGGATATTTGTACGCATACTCACATGGGTAGCACAAACACACAAACAAGCAAACACCATTCATTTACCCACACAAATGTATACAGCCAAATGCGTATGTATGTGGGTGTGGTTATGAATATACAAGAAATCATAGGAACTATGTGACATTTATGTTTTTAACGCGTTCTTAGATAAACGAAAAATTATGACTTCGAAAGATAGACTGCAAGTGAGAGGCATGCTGACATATACATACATACATATTTGATTATGAGGGTGGTTTGAACATTTCTATTGCCTTGAGTTTGGGATACTTTAAAATATTAGAAATATATTATACTAGCCGGCTTCGTATGCGCGAGGCTTCGCCACGCGCTGAATGTGTACGTAAGTACGTACATATACTCAGCAGGTGGCAACCCAAAAAAAAATAAAACCTTAGTGCGATGCGCAAATCTGATGTAATTATTAAAAAATGCCTTCACGTATAATATGTAAGGTGGTAATTCTTAAATAGGTGGCAACCCCACTAAAAATAATTAAAGCTTATTGTATATCTGAAGATCATATCCTTTCACTTGCTTATTTTTAATTTAATGAACTGTGAAAATCTGATGTATATAAGTAATAAAAATGTGGTTATTTTTAAATAGGTGGCAACGCCACTAAAACAAAAATGAATGCATTTCGCACAGTCAGAGACCATATCCTTTCACTTTGTACCTAATTTTTTAGTAAACAAACGGTGAAGATCTTATAATTAAACAAAAAAAGCCAAGATCTTATAATTAAAAAAACGACAACCCTACTCAAAAAAACACATTCAAGCCTGATTATGGCATCTTAACTTAACTTAACGAAACGTAGAACTTGGAGAATCAAAATGAAACAGATTTCGACGTGGCATTAGTTGCGTTAAGTTTCGGATGTTCAATTATAAGACACGCAAGGATCTTATAAGTTTTTAGACTTAAGCACTAAAGAAAATACCCCTATCGATACAGAATATATAAAACAGAATCTTATCCAAATCCGTTCAGTAATTTTCGAGATTAGCGTGGTCAAGTAATATTGGCTTTGCTTTATGCTACGTAAGTATAAGATAGCAATTTTAAATAGGTGGAAACCCTACTTAAAAAATAA